TGGGCTTTTGGGGCAGGTGAAGTTTTGCATGCTCCCTGGCTTCTCGGCATGAGGCTGAACCTTCCCCTGGCTGCAATGTGATACTTAGGCATGCCGGGAGCCTGCCAGGTTTTGGGCAGAGTGCTCACAGCTGTAGCAGAGAAATCGGGAGAACCTTCTCTGAGATCGTGCTGCGTCTGAAGAACTTTGTTGTAAAGCAGAGGGCTTTGACTTGTACAAACCTCTGGACTCTCGAGCAGTAGAAACCCTGAACTTCCAGTAGTTTTTGTCCAACAGGAACTGTTGGACTATCCCTGTGGCTTTAGGGCACTTGAGTCTTGGTGGTGCAGACGCTTGCACCCTCAAAGGCTGCAGGAACTGATGGGACTGGAACTTGGCAGCGTCCTCAAGTTTGGTGACAGAGCGTGCCTCCAAGTCAAAGCCTGTCAGTGTAGACTGCTCCATGCGAAGCCTGGTATAGATCTGCACTCCCTGGCTGGGTGTCTTCTCCTCTGCTTCTGCCCTTGGGTAGGGCTTCTGCCGAGCACAGGGCTGCCTGCAGTGTGCGAAGGTTCTGGCTCCTGGCACGTGTGTCACGTGCTGTGACAGGGCATGGGTGAAGCTCCTGCAAGTAAGACCATTGCCTGCAGACCAGCAGAGAAATGAGAGGTGCCACAGCTGAGGTCTTCTGCTGCTCTGCATCAATAAAGAGCTGGTCTTGTGGCTGGGCTTGCAGGCTGGGCTTCTTTGGGGGGAAGAAGCAGAAAGGAAGGTGAAAAAGGTCTTTTTTTTTCTTTTTTTTTTTGCAGAATAGCTAAAAGACTTGCATCTATCAAGTTTCCAGTTGAATGAGTGTGTGGACTAGCTCTTTGTGCTTGGCTGTTTATGCCACATGGAAGGTTTGACTCCATTTCAGCTGCATGCACCTCCTGCCCCCCCTGCTCCGATCTACAGGGGCACAAGTAGATCAGTTTGAGGCTTGACAGTTACTGAGATTTGTGGTGCAAGTTCTGCTTTTCTCTGCTGTCAGCCAGGGCCAAAATGACTGAGCTTCCCAGAGAGCAGGTAGACTTCCAGATGGCTTTGTGTTCCTGCCAAGCCCTTTTAATGCCAAACTGAGATTTTTCTTTGGGTATTTGAAGTCTTTAACTCCATGTAACAGTGCTGGGAATGGCATCAGGCGACTTAATGCTCGTAGGGTTGGTCTGTATGTGAGGGTGCTGCCCTTCTTAAGGGAGGTGAGACCCCTCCAAGGTCTGAGTTAAGAAGGGGGAGGGTTCTGGTAGTATTAATCTGGATGCTGGAAACAAACATTAGCAAAAATTCTCTGAAAGGGCTTGTAACGTGACCGCTGCAATCTAATCAGGCCTGATGCAGGATATTGCCTTATTGATGTTACATCAGAGGCGTTCAATGCAATACTATAAATTAAGTATATCAGAGCTTGCTGTTCAGCCTCTGGCTTTATTGAACTCACTTTGCGTTGGTATCCTGCAGTGTAAGGAAAAATCAGCATTTGGTTGGCCAGCACAGGCTTACAGTGAAGGCACAGACCTGCATCCACTTGACAAGTTGCAGCAGTGGTTTCTGGATGGTCTTCTGCTGGAGATGTTCACCCGTACAGTGCTGTTGGCAAAAGCAGCGTGATGATGGCTGCGATCCCATGCTGGAGTGGCACACGTATCGTGGCAGATTATGCAAAGACACCAGCCCATCCTTCGGTGGTGCGGGCAAGCGGGCAGCAGCATCTTACTGTAGCGCTGAGACGTGGCAGGCAGGTTCTGGGCAGACCAAGAGGCAGGGATGATGGCAGTTCCCAAAGGCAGCTTAACCTGGGATACGTCTTTTCCACCTTCCAGTGACTCTCTGATTTAGGCAGCTAACTGTACCTTTGCTGTCCGATATCTAGTGTCCTGGGCATCTTTCTTTTTCTTCCTACTGGGAATGCAAGTGCCAGATGGTTTTCCTTTCTTCCTCTCTTGGCTCAGTAGCAAACCAAAATATGTGCAGGACTGCAGCCTCTTTCCTTCCCTCTCCTAGTGCTGAGGGATGCAATCCCTGTCTCTGGCCGTGTTACACCTTTGCCATTTCTCTGCAGTGCTTTACCTTACTGGGAGCGTGCATACTGCTAGAAAGCAGTTACATGGTTAACGAGGCTCCCGTTCTGCTTTGGTAAGTTCTCTGCAAGCTCCCTGGAGGAATCTGCTTTCTCCACAGGTGTACCTTCCATCTGTCAGCGAGTTTGTTGAAAGGATTTTGACAGGCAACTTTCTTCCGTAATCCTTAATAGCTTCGAATTTAAAATGTTTATGGCAAAGCTAATCCTACGAAACTCCCTGTAGTTTTAATAAATCCGTCCTCCAGCGAGACTATTCTGGTGAAAGGAGGTAAATCTACTTCTTTCTGCAGTGATAGATATCTGCAGACTCGGCTGTGGGGCAGCTTTAAAGTCACCTGCTTGGTCCACGCTTAAAACTGGTATCTCTGTTCAGAGAGCATCTCACTAAAAGCAAAACCTCATGTGGTTATCAACCTTCATAACCAGTGTCAGGACAGAAAACTGTTGGAGTTGGTGAGTCTCTTGTTGTATGGCTGTCGATGTTGGACACTCAATTTACAGCTGGAAGGTAAGAGAATAAGTCAGGCTAGGATTTCTGGATGTTTCTAGTCCCTTACTCAAAGCAGGGCAACTTAGATGGGACAAGACCCTGAGTAACCTGATCAAGTTTTGAATATATCTCCAAGGATAGACAACCCATAAGCTCCAGGGCAGAAGGACACCTTCATTGTGCTCCAGTGTCTTTCAAAGATGGCTTTAACCTCACAGTATCTTTAATTTGTTTGTGCAGGTGTCACTCAGAGGAAAGAATGAATGGAGTCATCTCAAAGTTGTTAAGTCTTGTAAAAATACAGACAGCTAGAGACCTCTGAACTTGGAGCACAAGGCAGCCTGGAAGCAGCATATAAATGACTTGCTGAGGGTATTTTAGCACATTGCAGTCGGGCTGTGTGAAGGGCTGAGCCTCTGCCCCAGCCCCTCTGCGGGAAGCAGCATATCACACAAAACCCAGGGCCGTGTGGTTAAACAGCCGCCGTTAGCCTGGCTGGGAGAGGTGGGACGTGGGTTAGTCCCCTGGCTGCCGGGTGGCCCGGGCATCGCACACCCTGCTTACCTTGGGACGTGAAAGCTGGGAGCTGCCTTGGCACGCTGCCCTGTGCACCTTGTCCTGTATCGGTGGCGGCTGCTGATACTCACAGGAGACTCTGCCCTCTTTAATGTGACACCCATTTCCCTGGTCCCTCAGCCATCTTCTACCCTTGACACAGAAGGCAGTTGTGCCTGGTTTACATAGTAAGACCCTCTTCTGTACGGAGATGGGCTGTTTGCTGCTTCTCCTGCCAGGCTGTAGAGCATCTCGTGGAGCAGCAGAGGTCCGCACAATAGCGGGAAGTGGGAGTGGAGGCTCTTCTTGCTGCCTCTGCCTTGAGGAAAGGAATAGAGGGGATCCGGATCAGACACCAGAGTACTCTGCTTGCTGTGTGGGAAACTAAGGCTGAGCTGTAGCTTCTTTTTGGGAAAAGACATTAGCCAGACTATGGCTGAACAGCTGGAAGGAGAGCTGCAGGCAGGAGCGGATGTTGCTGAAATGAGCAGGTCAATATGGTATAAGTGAGGGCGAGTCATTCCAGGCCACTCAAATGAGGTCCTGGGCCGGACCATCCTACACTTTCCAGCATGAGCCCTTGGCCTGCTGATCACCACCATAAATGTGGTTATCTAGGCTCAGAACAAACCTTGTCCTTGCAGGCGCTTGTGAAAATGACTCAGTATTTGCAGAAGCCTTTCACATTCAAACCATTACCTAATCCCTGGGAGAAGTGACTGCCGAGAGGGGGCTTACAGATTCCTGCTCTACCGGCCTGCTTCCTACGTGGCCGTACCCAGGGTGTGTATGTGATGGGGTGGTGTGCCCCTCGGGAAAGGGGACAACAGCGAACATCCAGACTCAAAGTGCCACTTGGCAGCTGTAACTACCCCGGCTGAGCGGCTGTATGGAGCAGCCTGGCTGCTGCAGCATCCTGGGCTGCTGTGCCTGCTTCAAGGGTGCAGAGATCCACGTACAGGGCACAGCTCGGAGACAAGGGGGATGCGAGCCCTTCCCGAGCTGCCTGCTGCCCGTAAGGCAGGGCAGCTGGTGCAGCAGTTGGCCGGCTGCCTTGCTGTTGCTGGAGGTGCTGCCGGATGGCTTCAGCCAGTGATGAGTTTGCGGGAGCTGGAATGAGATTATTGCAATATCAAGCGTGTCGCTTCCCAGTAACTGAACCGGCCAAGGCGGCGTTTGGCAGCCCATTTGTGAGATGACTCTGTGCTCCATCGTCTCCTTAATCCCTCTGTTGTCGCAGCGCGTCAGGCAGGTAGAAGTGATGCTGAGCATTAACACTGTTATCCTCAATGAAGAAAATCCTGTGTGGGCAGAAGATACTCTTACCATGTGAGCTTTTAAGTCCTTATCTGTGCAGGTGCCTTAGGCAGCTGTGATTTTAACATCTAATGTATTCTTTAGGCATCTCGGAAGCATGCCCTGTGCTTATGGGAAACAGAAAAGATGAATGCCCTGTAGCTATGGTACTGTTAATCCATATGGCTAGCTCGTAAACCTAGACCATTTCCACCCTCTTGCTTTGACTGTTCCTCTCACCTGCATCACAAAGTCCGACTCTCATCCTGCAGGTGCATCTCTTTCCTAGAGGACATTTCTCATTCTGGAAAACCCTGATCTTCTAAGAGATGGAGAACACCTCGAATAAAACCCAACCCACCCCTCTTGCTGGGGGACCGAACCACGGTGTGAGTTCCCAGACAGCTCCCTCTGGGATGGGAGTGGATGCCAGATGACTTTGCGAGCCAGCTGCCTTCTCCTGCGTCTCGCTAGAGATGCATGGGAGCACCCGAATGTGTGATGGGAACGTCAAGTGATTGGGGCTTAACCCAGGCGTCTCTCTTCTCTCTCCCTCTCTCGATGCAGGTGACGGAGCTGAACGAGCCTCTGTCCAACGAAGAGAGGAACCTGTTGTCCGTTGCCTACAAAAACGTAGTGGGGGCGCGGCGCTCCTCTTGGCGAGTAATTAGCAGCATCGAGCAGAAGACCTCTGCTGATGGAAATGAGAAGAAGATAGAAATGGTCCGGGCCTACCGTGAGAAGATCGAGAAGGAGTTGGAAGCGGTGTGCCAGGACGTGCTGAGCCTGCTGGACAACTACCTGATCAAGAACTGCAGCGAGACGCAGTACGAGAGCAAAGTCTTCTACCTGAAGATGAAAGGGGACTATTACCGCTACCTGGCCGAAGTGGCCACTGGCGAGAAGAGGGCGACCGTGGTGGAGTCTTCGGAGAAAGCCTATAGCGAAGCCCATGAGATCAGCAAGGAGCACATGCAGCCAACCCATCCCATCCGGCTCGGTCTGGCGCTTAACTACTCGGTTTTCTACTACGAGATCCAGAACGCGCCGGAGCAGGCCTGCCACCTGGCCAAGACGGCCTTCGACGACGCCATTGCCGAGCTGGACACCCTCAACGAGGACTCCTACAAGGACTCAACGCTCATCATGCAGCTCCTCCGCGACAACCTAACGCTCTGGACGAGCGATCAGCAAGACGACGATGGTGGAGAAGGCAACAACTAGACCCCCCCGATGGACTGGCAGCCGCACGCTGATGCTAACTACTGCAGTCTTTATTTTTTTCCCACGACAGGGGTGGGGGAGGGAAAGGGAGGGGACACCTTCCCAGGGAGGCCCCCCACAACCTGTCTTTGATTGCCTCGTTGACATTTTTGCCAAAACACCACTAGTGGAAGTCAGGCTGGCTGTGCTGGTATGGAATAGCAGCCTCACTGGCATATGGACTGTTCTGTAGATTATTAATACAAGTGGAGCTGTCTTTAATTTAACTTTATCGCTAGAAATAAAAGGGTTTTAAGATGAATTCGCGTGGATGGAATGGCCCTCGTTTCTAAGGAAAGCAACGCAAAAAAAAAAAGGGAGTTCTGTGGTTCCAGTAAGGCTTTGTGCGTTTGTTTCTTCAGTCCAAGTGCCGTGTGTCCGTACCACGTCGCGGGGCGTCTCTCTGCAGCGCTCTGCCTGGCAGGGCGTAGCTTAAAATCCCCAAATTGAGAAGGAATTAAAAAAAAATTAAAGAATTTGGGGCTTGCAAAGCCCTGGGATTTAGGGCATCCATTTTTTTTTTTTTTTTTTTTTTTTGTTAAGATATTTATTAGGGTAGCTTACAGTATTAACACTAAATTGCAGTTTACAGTATTTCTACATTACAGCCATATGACATCAAGCCTTTGATTGTCTGTTTTTTCTTTTGCTAGTTCTTTTGGCTTGCCTTCCTGATCAGTCCTCGCCTGTGGACTGGCTTTAGCTATTCTGTGTCGCCCAAGGCAAGAAGACCGCCCGCCCGAGGAACATCAAAGCTGCTCTAGTTTTTTGGTCAACAGCTTAACAGGTGCTTGGCTAGCGGCTGTTTCAACTATTTTAAGTCCACAGCAAAAGGTTTAAGAACTTAATTAGACAAGGGGGAAGTGTTTAAACTTAAAATGCCACTTAAATAAAAAATGAAAAAAAAAAAAAATAAAAAAAGAGCATTCAGGTCTGTATGTCATGTACTGTGTTTGGTATTTCAAAAGGCCATCCTGATTTAAGGTGCCACAGCTGCTTCCTCAGGGATTGCACTGCCATTTCACTCTGCCTGACTTTCTCCCACTGTACCATGAGGTTTGTCAGCAGATCTCGGGCACCCAGGCTCCCTTGTTTGTCACCAGGGAAGCCGGGTGCGTTTTCCTTTCTCCTGGGGAAGCTTGTGGTGTAATGAGTGAACTTCAGGAGCTTAGAAACTAATTTGGTAGAGAAATCCTCAAGGGAAGAGCTACAATCATAGACATTTCTATCAACCATCGGGAGCCCAGGAACTTAGTTCTCTTCTTAGCAAAATCTTTTCTGAGTCTGTCTGATCTGGCTGGGGGTGGGAGTCGGGGCATCTGAGTTGCTTAGCAGGTAATATTTACCCCATTTTGAGTAAATTTATTATTTTTAATTTTTATTTTTACATTGTTGTTGAAAGTTCACTGCTGTTCTCTGGCTCGCGGAGTGCTGTGCCACGTAGCTTTTCACCTAAAGCTGCGCAGTAAGGAAAAATCGCACTCGTGCATTACTTTTTTTTTTTTTTGGAAAAAGGCTTTAATTGTCCCTTTCGAGAGTCAGTCTGCAAACAGCGTGTCGTGGTGTTGCACACACGGTACAGCCGCTCCTGCTGTCGGGTTGCACGGGGAGACGTCGCTCCAGCTCCCTCCCCGCAGTCAAACGAAGCCGCTACCCCAACCCCTCGGGGAGCGAGCGGAGCCGAGGCCGGTGCTCGGCCTTCAGATATTGCCCCGGCGATGCTGGCAAAGCTTTTTTTTTTTTTTTTTTTTTCGGGGAGGGGAGAGAAGGTTTTTTGCTAGATTTATCGGGATGCCTTCGCACGCGGAGTCTTGCCCAGCCTCGCTCGCAGCGAGCGAGCAAGCGCATCCGCCGGGTGTACGGTGTGCAGCATGCCGCAGCGAGATGCTCGCGCTGCCGGTACGTGCCGTGGACTGGAAGATTGCTTTAGGCTTCTTACCTTCCTTTGACCCTCGTGTCCCGTGAGCAGTGTTGTCCCAGCTGTATAATTTGGAAGTGATTTACTGGAATTACAAAACCTATCTTTTTTTTTTTTTCTTTTTTCTTCTTTTCGGCTTTTGCTCTGGCTGCTTTAGGAAACTTATGCAGGAGAGATGGCACAAGAGGGCTAAAACCGGAGTGGGGGTTGGGGACTTGATTTTTAAGCAGCTTGAATGGTTTCTTTTGTTTTTTAAGAGATGCACTTGCCTATGATACTGTCTCTCCAGTGAAATGATTACTGCTCCATTACTCTATTGATACAATATTGTGCATGCTAGTGTCGTATTTCTATACAGTAGCTTGAAATTTATTAACTTATACTGTAGATGTTATGTATTCCTATGACAAAATAGTCTTCAAAAATTTTTTAAAGTTTTTTAATTTATTTTTTTCTTTTGGGGGTAAAGTTTGCTCTACCAAATAGTGATCGTAACAAACTGATCTGTTATGGATGTTGCTATAGTGACATGCAATTATATATGATTTTGTTTTTAAAAAGGAAAAAAAAGCAAAAGAAAACACCAGTGTTAGCTTAATCTTAATGTCTGGTGTTCGTCATGGTGAAATTATAACTATTACAGTGTAGGAGAACAATGACTGTGTTCTTTGAATGAGCCTTTGTTTGTGCTTTTTGTCATGTTATGCAGTGAACTATTTTTAAGGTCTAATCAGTGATTATTTTTCCAACTCCGTGTTTCTGTAAGGAATTATTTCACACACGGACCATTCTTAGCAGTTTTTCCTCAGTGATGTATCATGAATGTGAGTCATTATGTAGCCGTCGTACATTGAGCAAATAAACTTACAGATCTGACGTCAGCGCTGCTTAATTGTTATCGCCTGTGTTGAGTTTCTGGGGGGGCTCCGTGGGATGGGGGGCTCCCCCTCGCTGTCGGTGCTCGGGAGCCGGGGCAGGCAGCGGGGGCCGGGAGCGAACAGCCTTGGTTCTGCTCCCCGGGGGCCCTCTGCCTTCCCCCGGAGCACGGGGAAGCCGGGATGCCGTGCTCCGCAT